TAATCCAAGTATGACATTTTTTTGCTGTGGATATGAACAGCTTTCTCCTCAAGTTGGACAATGGACATCTTTTTAATTGGGTGAAACATGTAATTAGAAAAAAAGAGTGCTCCTTTTATTCTAAACTAATTAAGTCAGTTTTTAATAAAAATTACTTTGATATAAATTTTATTAATTTCCAAAGGCAATATTGTATGTTAATTTTGACCCATATCAAAAATTACTCATTCAATTAAGTCTGGATTTAATTCTCGTTTCCAACACTATGTCAAACCTCAGACATATAATATAGGTAGTGACTGTTCCTTTACAAAGCACCTGGCACTAGAAGTGAACGTCAATGGGTCTTTTGGATATGACCATAAAAATATCGTCCCACTTCATGGTAGATGTTGGCACAATGAAGAACCATCACTTCTCTATATTGCCATAAGTGCTGAGTATATAAGTCTAAATTTGAAGCCCTTCACCAGTATAAAAATTTGGTGAGGTCTCGTATGAGTGAAAAATTCTTAAAGGGACATGAAACAACAAACAATCAATCGTACAGATAGCTTACTGAGTGACCTGATAACATGAGGACCATGGGTTTAATTTCAGAGGAAATTATTATTTGTGAAGAACATAGCGAAATTAAAATCATTGTGTTAATTTCCATTGCATATATGAATTGTTCACTTCAAGAAATTCAAATGATTTCACATTTGAAAAATTGTGAATTTCAAACTTCCAATCCCCTTTGCAACGTGATGGCATCTGACTTCTGATCATAGTGAATTAATAGAACATTGTATAAATTAAGGGAACAAAAGTGTATTATTGTTTCAGAGTATTAATACATTGTAAATTATTTCAAGGTAAATAATTTTTATCTCTGAACATTTAAGAATAACACCAGAGTTGTCTTTCTTGCTTCCTTATACAGAACTGTTGAAGGAAAAGAGATCAACTTGTTGCAATCAGGTGTTGAAAAGACATTCCTGTCAGTTTTGAGCCTAAATTTTGTAATGATTTTTTGCATCACAAACTCTGTGATTAATATAACGGATGAAAGTAAACTTTTTCTCTTAGCTCTCAACAAATAGGGGTGAAACGATACACCTCCATGGTTCGATACGTATTGTATAATTTTGTCTCGGTATGGATATTTTCAGTACGATACATTTTGAAAGAAGGAAACAAATTCAATCTTGTTTTATGCTTTCTTTTACTAAATCTAGTCACTTAATTTACGAATTATTTGCAAACTGACTAGAAGAAATTGATTAGAATTATTTGACTGTCAAAAAATATTTTACAATTGAAACTTGAAACTATCAGTCGATCATCAAAAATTTATGTGTTCTATACTTATTTATACTGAGTAAAGTGTTTTACATTATGCCAAACCCAACTGAATAACGATCCCGATGGAAAAATGAACCGAATATGCGAGTTTAGAAATTGTAACTCTCCTACGAGTGAGATGCAAAAGGTATCCATATCAGCATGGAAGTGGGACAGGTTGTTAATGTATACAAATGTGCATAAATAAATGAACGATGGCTATGGCTTTCAAAATTCATTTAATGTTATAGAAAGATGAAAATGCTAAGCAATGATCATTTTGATGGTTTTATAAAGCTCTACTATACATATTTACAAAATAAATGTACTTTCATTCAGGATACTTGTAAACGAAATAACCATCATAGTCTTTGTAAGAAAAATAATTCTTTTTTTGATTGTACAAACCTTTTCTAAAAAGTTACTGGGCTCTTTGAAGTTATTATGAGGGAAAGAGTCACATGCATTCAGAATGACGACGTACAATGATCACATGCGTGTGTATTTATTAGAGATCCATGATATCTCTTCCCTCGTTTGATAAGTTCTTACCCACTGATATTTTCTTTTGTTCCGATTTTTATTTTCTTTTTTTCTGATTTTTTGTTCGTAGAAAAAATTGACGCCTTTACTTTTGATTCGGCAATTTCGAGTTGAAGAGTGCATTCCGAGAATCAGTTATGCTGGCACATTGATGATGTAATGTATCCAATATATAAATAACTGTCCCACCTGCCTGCTTACATGGAAACAAAACTCCCATTCTTAACGAAAGAGCGCACCAAGGGAGATAATCTCGAAACTTGCGTATTGAAAATTAAGAGATTTTGCACCGTGTATCAAACCGAGAAAAAATACCACGGTGAATCGATACCGCGGTGAACCGTTTCACTCCTATCAACAAAGAGGACTGGTTGAAGTGGAGATGGGCACTACAAGGGTTTAATACTAAGTCACTTTGAAGAGGGTTGTAAAATATTTTTTTCCTGAGATTTTATATGCAACACTAGACAGAGCTGACCATTAAGCTAAAAATATGTTTATACATTGTAAAAAAGAAAATTGATGACCAGAAAATAGCATTAAGAAAGCCTGTCCACAGGCAATCTGTCAGACATGAAAGTCAAAATCTTTGATTTCTCCTTAGATCACCTGAGTGACTCAGTCAAGTGAAGTACTGCCATCTGTTGTGCAAAAGGAATAAACTTGAGAACAGTTAGCTACCTCTTCTCTGAAATCAATCAATTTAAGTAGACAGAATCTATGGATGAAGATCAAGGAGCAGAACTGATTTCATGGTCCATTCTTATCCCCCCCCCCCCTACCCCCTTCCAACAGGGTCTGAAATAATGAAAATGTATTCCAATGTTTGAAGATATTTGTATTAATTCACAAATGACATCTAACAGTCAAGGTGATTATAATGAGCAGCTAGCCCTCTACCAGAATTGTGAAATTATTGCTCCCTTAAATTAGCTCAGGACTCAAAGTGAGGGTGAATTCTTTTATACAGTGTACCATTTATTCATAGACATTTGCATGGTCCTTAACAATTGTGAATCTGGTTATCAGGGATCAGATCCTAGGAGGGGGTTTAAGTTGATCATATATTTAAAATGCTTTTTAGCTCACCTGAGCCAAAGGCTCAAGTGGGCTTTTCTGATCAAACTTTTTCTGTTCTCTGTGGTCATTGTCATTGCTTAAACTTTTCACATTTTCAGCTTTTCCAGAATCAAAGGGCCAATTTCAACCAAACTTAGCACAGAGTATTCCTGGTTAAAGGAAATTTGAAGGGCCACATCCTTTTCCAAAGGGAGATAATTAAGAAATAGTGAAAATTGGTCGTGGTCATTTAAAAATCTACTTCTCAAGAACCACTGGGCCAGAAAAAATGAAACTGAAGAGAAAGCTTCCCAAAATAGTGTAAATTCAAGTTCGTTCAAACATTATGCCCAGGCTAGGGGTAGAGTCTGGCCACTATGGGCGATCAAAGATTTACATGGGAATACATATTAAAAATCTTGAAAAATCTTTTCATCAAGAACAGCAAAGCCATGATTAGTCATATTTATATGGAAGCATCCTCAGGTAGTGTAGTTTGACAAGATTCAATTTGTTCTAATCGTGACCCTTTGGGGTAGGGTGGGACCACAATGGGCAATCAAAGTTTTACATTGGAATACATAGGAAAAATCTTTAAAAATCTTCTCAAGAACAGCAAACCGTTCACGGTAGCTCAGTCGGAAGAGTGATCGGGAGGTCGTGAGTTCGAATCTCGACCGCGACTGACCTAAGTCAATAAAAAATGGGTTGCAACTGTTCCTTCGCCATGCGCTCTGCACTTTGAAGTGAAAGTTGCAGGTCCTTCGGATGAGACCTTAAAAACCAAGGCCCTGTGTCATGGCAGGTGTTGGCACGATAAAGATCCTTCACTGCTCAATGGCCCTGAGTGCTTAGTAAAGGTCAAAAATTTGAAGCCCTTCACTGGTGTATGGTGACGTCTCTCTATGAGTGAAAAATTCTCCAATGGGAAGTAAAACAACATACAATCAATCAGTCAAGAACAGCAAAACCTTGATTAGTCATATTATTTATGTGGACGCATCTTCAGGTTTCTATTTGAGTGAAAAATTCTTGAGTGGGACGTCAAACAACATACAAGCATCTTCAGGTAGTGTAGATTCAAGTTTGTACAAACCATGACCCCCTTGGATAGGGTGGGGCCACAATGTGTGATCAAAGTTTTACATCAGAATATATAGGGAAAAAATCTGCAGATCAAGGGCCATAATTCATCAGGTGAGTGTTGTGGCCCATGGGTCTCTTGTTTAAATAGTAGCTAGTTCACAGTACTTCTTTCATCCCAGTGCAAGAAATTCCATTCTTCATACCAGCTGCTTATGAACATTTCAGCAGAACTAACATATTAAGGACTACAGAAACAGGATCTGTTTTTGAAACATGGATGCTCCTGGCAGCTCATGGCCAAAGTTAAAGTTTTTTTAAAAGTAGGTCAAACTCCACTGTCATGAAGTCAAAAATGTTGGTACCCAAAGAAAGGTCACCAGGAATACGTATGTGAAATATGAAAGCCCTAGCACTCATCGTTCAAAGGTTATGGGCAAGTTTAAAGTTTTTGCAGACAGACAGATGGACAGACCAAAAACCATATTCCTGAATCTCTGATTCAGGGGGCATAAAATAATGGATTTAGTGTATTACCAGGAATGGCTGAAATTGCACTGGTACTGGGTGAAAAAATGAAAAAACAAACTTTAATTATAGCTTTGTTTTCTATAAATATGTTTTATTATATAGTTTGGATTTGAACTGGCAAGTTTTTCTGGGAAATTTTTACATTGTTGTTCACTCCTCTTTGATCATTCACATGAACTTTGCGTTCTTAGAATAATTCCTGTATCTTGTCCTGGTCAGTAACTTCTATTGATTTCACATCACAAATTTAAAGCTTCAGTAATTTGTTCCTTCGTTTGTATTTTATGGTGATACATTTGTCAAGTTTGATTATGGGAAACAGTCCTGTTCATTCCATGATTGCTATTCTGCAAGAGGAAATAGAATAATGGCCGCTAGGAAAAAAATTGCAAACTATCATTACATCAGGATTCTCTGGTAGATCTTCGCTGGATGGTCAGATAATCAATTGTCTCATTCTGGCAGTCTGTCAGGATGGATCCAGCAGGGAATGTTACAGGAACTCAACTTCTTTGTACTCTTCTGTTATTGGAGGGGGAAAAATGTTGTGCATGAACTGAAAAAAAATCTAATAAAACATAAAGTGAACTTTATACACATTTTGATAAGCATTTTTAGCTTGGTATTCTAAATATGTTATTACATGTACTTACATTAATGTAAGGTTTGAAAACAGTTAAAGCAGTGTACATGTATTTGTAAAAGAAATGCAGTGTATGTGTGTCATTGCATACATCGGTGTTCAGACCTCAAAAGAAGTAGCATATTGCATGCAGTGTTTTACACTTCAATTTTGAGATTTGTTATTATGGCCTCTAATGACCACTGCAATTATTAAAATTAATATCAACTGCATTGAAGTAGACAAAACCACCATTTACATAGATTATGCAAAGAAATGTTTTTCATACTCATCACAAATGGTTTTAGTGGTTGCTTAGCCATTTTGAAAAGTGACTTTTGTTGGTATATAGCCTGGAAGCAATAATTGTCATTGGATGTTCATTTAGTTGCCAAATAAAGCAGTTGATGTCATTAGACAGTTCAGATCTAAAACTAGTTTGTATTTCTCAAAACAAGATTGTATTTCCCATGAAAGTAGAGTTGCATTTAAGTAGAAATTAAAGTGAATGCTGATCGATGTGTATATCACTTATATTTTCTGGAGATTTTGGAATGTGTATAATCATGATAATTTGATCAATATTTTTATGTTGCCTGGATTGAAGACAGATACATGTATTTATAATTTATAACAAAGTAATTGGATTGTCTTAAATCTCTTTACAAATTAGATATAATGATCAAAACTGTCTTTCACAAAATCAGTCTTTATGAAATTTCCTAATATTAAGCTCATCCAAATAAAATGCAATCTGATAGCAAATTAATTTCAAAAGTGAAGTTCTATTTCTTTATGGATGCAAGCTTATTCAAAATGTGTAAATATATACATTTTTATGTTACTTAATTTATACTTATGTAATTGTAATAATTTAACATTTTCAAGACAAGAAGTTTACAGTCACCTTTCACTAATACATTTTCAAACAAGTTGAAAAGAAATTATAATGCTAGACTAGCAAATGGAATAAAACCAACAAACAGCTAGCATAAAATTTGTTAAAATTTCACTATAAATTATAGTTGAAAGCAATTGCAACTAGCTGAGATATTAATAAGAGCCTTAAAGACTAGAATCAAATTTGCAAGTAGCAGCCAAGGGAATGGGTCTATTATGTATTTCAAAGAACCCTAGGGTAGACGTAATTAACAACATTTAATATCTAATTTAAGTTTTCTTTATCACAACTGTGTGTCTGCATGTAACTTTATTTTACAACTCTTCTTACGTCAAGTTCAAAGAAATTTTCAGTAAAACTTTTGTCTGAGTGAAAAAGAAATAAAAGTCACTTAACTACTGGTTTGAACTTTTACTTTTAACTTTGGTTTAAAATCGACTCTTTTAATAATGGAATAAATTTCATTCAATTTGCATACAGAGATGATAATTATCATGTATAAATTTTGATGGAGTAAGATCATCTATCTATTATATCTACCTCTTATGTATGATTGTACTTGCTACATGATTGTCCTTGACCTTTGTTATAAATACAGGAAGTGCCATTAGGGAGAAATAAAATAAATCAGCATTAATAAAATATTTCCTAACTAGAATATGTGCTGAGTAGATAGTCATTTAGTTCTGAGTATAAACATTAGTTTGACAGTTTTCTATATATGGCAGAGCTTAGGGTCTAACATAAAAAATTGTTTGTTTGCATTTGCCTACCGACCCACTTAAAATGCACCATGACCCAAAAATTTTTGCAGCCCTTTTTTTTTTTGAGATAATTAATTGGGGGGGGGGGGGGGGGGGGGTTAAGATTCAAGTCTTCAGGATACTGAAACTGTTTCATTTTCTATTTTTTATTTTTGTTTTTATCAATTTATTGCTTACATAAGTGGAGCTTATTTGCTTTATTAACTTTAGAAAATCTCTATGATTTGTTATCCAGCAAAAACCTGAAAACATACAAAAAAAAAAAACAAACAAACAAACAAAACATGCCTACCTGCCTTAAAATTACAGGTTGACAATTGCATGCAAACAAAGAATTTTTTAAGCTTGGCCTGGCATGTGTACATGTGATCAATATGCAAAATTACAAATGAAAACTTTAATCTGTTTCTCTTTACCACTCTACATTTATGTTTCTTCACTGATACATAGAATCTTCTTTTTTTTTTGTTTCTCAAATATGTTAAAGAATTTCCAGCCAGCAGTTGATTAATGTTGCAGTGACACCACTAAAGGTTATATCACAATTGACACATTGTGCTGCAAAACCTGAGCACATACTCTATCCTGTGTCTGTGGGTTGTATTGCACTGATCTGTGCAGTATTTATGTATCCTTAGTTTGAGGAAGATTAGTTGTGCATAGAGAAAAAGATTTTTATCATGCATGGTTGACCTTTACTTACTATTTCCAACTCTTTAATTGTCCAAACCAAATCAGCAATTTAATCCTCATGTTTTTGGGCATTTAGAAAGATTATGGAACTCTAGATAAGGAAAACTGGTTACTAACTTGCAAAGTTATTGAACCTGAATCTTTTGGTTAGTTGATTTGTTGTGCTTGACTTATTGTTTCAAATGACACAAGTACATGTATATGTGTCACATGTAGCTGCAGTCAGTGCCAGTAAAAATTTTGTGAGGATAATTTCTACAATTTTGGGGCCTCCATACCTTTCAATAAGACATCTTTTGCCAAAAAAGAAAGAAAGAAAAGAAAAAGAGATTGTTAAATTGTATATTGATACACATTCAGTCAAACTGTATCAAATGAATCAACATTTTTTTATATAGTGTTTGTCATGTCCCTCTTCTGTCCTTCTGTCCTTTCATCACACTTTGTATTTAGCCCAGTTTCTAAGAAACTTTTCAAGATATTTTTATCAAACTTCTTATGCTGATACATATTGATTAGAGCTAATATAACTGCATAACATTTTTTACCTTGACCTTTCCTTTGACCTATACCTTACTTTTTTCAAATTTGTGTTTAGCTCAGTTTCAAAAAACTATTGAAGATATTTTTCTAAAACTTTATGTGCTGATACATATTATTGATGAGAGCTATTCAATTGCATCAACATTTTTTGACCTTGATTTTTCCTTTGACCTCAACCTCACTTTTCTTAAATTTGTGTTAATCTTAGTTTCAAAGAAATTTTTCAAGATATTTTTATCAAACTTCTTACGCAAGTAAGATTTTATAGAAAAAAAAATTACTGCATTGTACAATTGTTTCACTCATGCCAAAAATGACAGTGTATTGTTGAAAAGTCATCTGATTTAATACAAAGTTTATAGGCAAATAGTATCTTTAGTTAATTAATTATGGTCCCTGATCATGTCAGACAGGTAAATGCTTAAAACTATGCAATAAATAGGATAGTTAGGGTCAATTTTTTATCAGATTGATAAAAAGTCAGTGGGTTGCTCTCCAGGTTTGACTGTATAATGTCTTTTAAAAAGTTTTGTGTGGGGTAAAAATTGCAAAATTCCCAAAGATCAACCCACTCAAAATATTGCTCCATTAATAGTGCAAACTTATAAAGGATGAAAGAAAAGTATAAGTGGTGAAATAGATTAAAAAAGGAATGGCACTCAAATGTCAGATCACCACATGTTTAATTTCTGATCATTTGTAATTTTTTGTTCTTTTTTGTTTTAGGTTGATTAGAAGTTGATATTTAGAGCTGTATACAGATTGGCTGGCAGTAACAGCATGTAATGGTTATTAAGATGGCATTAGTAAATTAGGTAAGAAACATGTACAATAAAAAAAAATTACAGAGAACATGCTTACAATCAATTCACACTTACAGAGATGTGATTTTTATTCCCTAGCTGTAGTAATTAAACATGCATGAACTTACGGGGTAATAATTAATTACATTTATAATGAATCAGAAATGTACGTCTTTGGCACTTTTGTTTACTGTACAGTGAAAGGTTTATCAATTTGTTAGACATTCAAATATAACTAGATGCTGTCATGAGACAGTAATACCCGCACTAAGGTGTTTGCCTCTAAATGCACACTCCTTCATATTGGGCTTACCAAGGAAAAAGTCCAAATAATTCTATAATTTACACAGTACATGTATTCGTCAAATCGAGCATAAAATGCTCAGGTGACCATGTGACCCATGAACCTCTTATACGCATTTCATATACTTAATTCATTACCAGTCTGAAATATCAGAATTTAATTAATGTTGTAAATTAGGTTTTAATAAAAAGGGGGGGGGGTATAAATTTTTGGCCCATAATTGGAACTTTTTAAATTTATCTTCTCAACAACAAATAATATTATTTTAGTACAAAGCGTTTTTGATGAATTTATCAAAATGTGCAAACTTTTTTTAGTATTTGATTAGGCAAAAACCTCCTTGAAAAGCCATACCCAATCAATTTATATGTCCCCCCCCCCCCCCCCCCCAATACACACACACACAATTTGCCTGTTTTTGGAAATAGGCCTAGATGGCAAAGTTATGTTAAAACATCGTTTGTTAGGATAATTTAAAATTTGTTCTTGTACTGTACATGTATGTGAACACCTTTTTGAAAATTTCTACATCACATTGGGCTTGCGTCACCCTACCAGTACTAGTACTAGTTTTACCATTATCATTTTTAGATTGCACATGCCATGTGACATGGTGCAGTGTTACATGTATATCAGTGGAAATTAATTCATTTTGTGTTTTAATTGGATTATATTTCATGAAGTTGACAGGACCTATGACAGTCGGTAAGTACAAGTTTAAGTATAGATTGGGGTAAAATAAACCGAAATGCAAATGGTTAGGTTAAAGTTTAAAAAGGATCAAAGATCATCGGCAATCTCCTATGCAGAGTTGTCGTTCGTTTCTCTCTCAGA